CTGCACAATCAGCAAGGGGTCAAATACTTATTTCCCCCACTGTATATTCAAGTATATACAAGTTTATACTTGGAGAACTGTCCCTTGCTGATTTTGCAGGTTTGCCCACTTACAAAGAATGCTTATTTTTCCTCATCAGATGGTTATCAATTTTTATAAATTCATATGATGTGATTTTCTGGAATTTTCTTTGGGATTCTGTCTTTCACTGTTAGAATGTACATATGATTAAAGTTATAGATCGTTGCATTCTTTGTAAGTGGGCAAACCTGCAAAATCAGCAAGGGGTCAAATACTTATTTCCCCCACTGTATATATACAAGTATATATATATATACAAGTATATACAGTTCTCAAAGTATATACAAGTATATATATATATATATATATATATATATACATACATACACAAGTATATACAGTTCTCAAAGTATATACACATACACAAGTATATACAGTTCTCCAAGTATATACAAGTATATAATGGAAAACTTGTATATATCTTGTGTATATATAAGTATTATACAAGAGTAATGTATAGAGTTACCACTAGTTTCCAACACTTTCAGTGTCTCCGATCAGTTTTTTTTTCATGCGTTCTGCTGCGTTTTTCTGGCTTGTTTCTGTATTTTAGGCACCTTTGAGATTCAGTCTCGTGGTTTGTCCGGTCTCCTACAAGACTGTGGTGCGTTCAGGAGCACCAGACATGTGGGAACTAACCGAGAAGACAATATACTGAACAATATCCTAATAGGAAATAACCGTTTTTTCTAACATTTTTCTTCCTCTTTCCTCAGAGCTCACCGGCAGCTGATAAAGCTTTTTGCACGAGGAATCGAGGAACCGCAAGTGTTTGAGGACCTCTGCAACCCCTGTGCAGTATAATGGACCGCCCCGCCCCCCCCGTATAACGGATAATGGACCGCCCCGCCCCCCCCACACCCGTTCCCAGTTAGACACTTAAGCCGTTTTCTTTTAACGTGACACTGGTGGCATCAGGAAAACTGATCGGATTCCTCACTTAACAGCAATTCATGCTGTTACTCCTCAAGAATCCGCTGGACGAAGGAAAAGGCTAAATTTTATAGTCCAGGTCCTTATTTTCCATCCATCCATCCATTTTCCACCCGTTTATCCGGGTCACAGCAGGGAACAGGAGGGAAACCCAGACTTCCCTCTCCTCCTACACTTTTTTTTTATTATCAATCACTTTATTTTGGTAAATTGTCCACATTAAACACAAGAAACAACAAAAGAAAAAAAGAAAAGAACAATAGACAAAAACCCACTTTTCCGGGTCCTGGTTCTCCTCCCGGGTCCTGGTTCTCCTCCCGGGTCCTGGTTCTCCTCC